GTTTCACAATTAAAAAACAATTGACTTGTCTCATGAAGTAAAAGTGTCCTTTAGATGATCAGCGGTGCTTTAGAAAACTATTTTATAATAAAGTAAATATTTGTTTCAGGTCAGGTCTGAACATCTCATCGATGAATGAGTCGTCTTTACATCGTTTTGATTCTGTTATTTTGTTGTTTATCCCATAATGAAGGATGTGGAAATCATGACAGTTGTTGGTGATATTAATTCACAGCTATTTCTCTTTCATAAATACCACCTGACTAATCAGTTATCTAATCTGTGATGTTTATTTTCAAACAGAGTTTGCAACAGACTTTCAGACAAAATACAACAACACTTATACATTTTCCACATCATCAGCTGAATGCTTTCCCGTAGCGAAGTGACAGTTACACAGTTCGTGTAACTGTAACGGCCAAGGTATTTATATACAACATATTCTATCAGCTGGAAATCTATATAAAAGAAAAAAAAGAATATCACCAGGGACGATTTAGTGAAGACGTTGAAATAAAATGAGCACAGCTGATTTTAAAACCAAAACTCTGCACTGGAGCTGGTCAGGTTTGCAGGATAGTTAACTACAGTGATTGAGCCAAGTTAAAAGAGAGCCAGCATAGCTTAGTTACCAGTTTAACACACACTACAGTGCAGCCCTGTTGTTTTCCAAAGCTCATTAAAGCTATCAGATTATAGGATTAGGCGCATTAAGAGGTTTACTTTTAAAGTTTCTCCTCCAGATTTTATAGTGCAGAGCTTCATGTGGAACAAAAGGAGGAAAAAAAAACATAGTATAGATAACAGTAAATATCATCTACAGCGGTCTTAATAAACTCATGCTAGTGTTAGATGATATGATGACAATCATAAGATTAATTATCAAGATTCATTTATTCACACTAGCTCTTCTCCACAGTGTGTCTTTTGTCCTGTCTCCCTCCCCTCACCCCTTACTGAGTGGCAGTAGATGGCTGCCTCTCCCTGAGGCTGGCTCTGCTGGAGGTTTCTTCCTGTTAAAAGGAAGTTTTTCCTTCCCACTGTCTCTAAGTTAAGGCTTATATGGGGTTTTCTGATTGTTGGGGTTTTCTCTGTATTATTGTAGAGTCTCTTGTTCCTAAACTTCCTGATGCTGTTATATTTATTAAGGATAGCATTAAAGTACAATGAGATCATTTTAGTTTGACAAGATCACCTTCATATTTTGTATCTACTTGTTTCATTAGTTTATTACATGCTTATATTTTTTGCATTTTTATAATCACAGTTTCGATTATAATAGTAAATTTAATCAATCAAGGATCACTTAGACCAGCGGTCCCCAACCCCCGGGTCACGGACCAGTACCGGCTGCGAGAGTTGAGGCTCGGGTATGAAATTCATGGTTTTCAGGAGTTAATTTTTTTTATTGTTTTTATCGTTAACTTGGTGTCCCTGGGTCTTTTCCCGTGTGTTATGAATAAATCTTTTTTTTTTGCTGCCGGCATTGGTTTTATTTTGTTGTATCTATCCGCGACACCTTAAAGACCAGTCCGTGAAAATATTGTCGGACATAAACCAGTCAGTGGCGCAAAAAAGGTTGGGGACCGTTTACTTAGACCACACAGAAGAAGAACTATGTGAATTATCCTATCCTATGTGTAAAAACTCACATACCAGTTTCCTGTGGGGTGGTATCAACAGCTGAGGCCTGAAGGCCTGGTATCAACTCTTCTGAAGCAGTTGTTTCAGTATCTGGGGTTAGGTCTGATAAAAGGAGAGTCTCTGTCATTCACTGTTTATCCTATTTTAAAAATACTGCACATGAACATTAGCATGCAGATGTTACCATTAGCCTTTTTGGCATCACTTGTAAACTCCTCAGCAGTGAGATTGGAGAAGTTGTCATCATCAAAGGGGTTCCACGCTGGCTGTGTAGGGGTGTTTGTGGTGGCACCAGAAGCAGGAACATTTTTACTTTGGTCCTGTACTGCATCACTAAGATTTGGCTGAGACGGAAGTGATCTGAAAGTAAACATCAACAACAGCAGCAAAACCTCATAAATAAACCAAATAGGAGAAGCTGTAGTTGAATATTATTGAAGAAAATGTGACACTTACTGATTGAGAGCTGCTTCTTCATTAGCTCCCTGTGGCTGCTGTGAGGAGTCGCTCTCTGGAACTGCAGAAACAGCAGGAGCTGTGGCGTCACTCGGTGTGCGTTGGTGGTTTAGTTCTTCAGTTGTCTTTGGAGTAGCAGGTGGGGTCTGATCAAAAGACGCAAAGGAAGCCAAAATATCAAAAATCAACAACTATTTAATTTAGGAAGACAGCTAATTGTGTTCACAAGAGGAAGAATATAAAAAAACAACACATTTATTCACATTTTGAACTGACTCTGGTTGATGAGACAGAGAAACACTTTAGATCAGGACATGCCACACGTAGATTAAGGGGAAAAGGATGACGTTGACAGCTCTGCAGTGCTGGTATTTAGGCATTGTTTGAAGCTAGATGTTTGCCAGCAAGCCACTTACTGTCTCAGCTGGTTTTTGGCTGCTCTCAGTAGCGCCAGGCTGAGCCTGGGTAGCTGACGGTTGAGTTATCTGCTGCTGAGATACTGCAGGCTTGCTGGGGGAAGGCTGCGCCTCTGGCTGTTGAGCCAGGCTGGCCTGCTTACGACGAGCTGGGCGCTGAGGCGGGGCTGGGCTGGATGGGGTCTGTGCTCCTTGTTGGGAGGCTGAGCTCACAACAGAGGTGGGTGTAGTCTGTTGCTGTACTGTTGGCTGTGCTTGTGGTTGGATGTCAGCTTTGGTCACCGGTGATGCCACTGCTGCTGGTGCTGCTGTCTCTGCAGCTGGAGCTGGCTGCACAGCCTAACATGCAAAGATTTTAACATTTGAAAGGAACTGTCACTCAAAAACAGTAGATCTGCAAATAAAAGCAACTTATAATCTGTTTTGTTAAAGAAGACACAATGGTCAGTGAACCTGCTTCTGTAGAGCTGCAGTCTGATTTGAATTATTTTGTGACTGAATGAGAGGCAGAGCTGAAGCCTGAGCCTTCTGTGACTGAAGAGCTGCAGCTGGCTGAGAGAGATCTAAACTGACTCCTGCAGACAAAAACACAAAAGAGCGCATTACTCTACAGTCAGTGGAGACAATTTGATCTGAATACTTGCACAGATGCTCAAAAGACCTAATGTGAAGCAACACAAACAAGTTTATTTGAATTTAAAAACAACAACAACAAAAAAACGATATAACACTCATCAAAATGCATTAAAGTGGATTAAACAGTCTATTAAACGCAAACACATCAAAGTGATTCATCACACAAAAAAGAACCTACAGTACCTGAAGCATTGTTATAAGTGAAAGCAGAGAAATTCATTTCATAATCACTTTGGGGTTTTGGTTAGATAACTTTAATTTGCATGAGTCTTCACCTGTTTATTTGAGCTGTTCTTGTTGAGAATTGAGGTATTCAACGTGCACACAAAGGATTAGAGACATCCCTGTATTTATTCTCATCCTTATTCAAAAGACTGGTTTTCTTTTCCTGTGACAGACAGGAAAATAAGGACAGAGTGCTGTACGTACCCACAGGCTGTGCTGCACCAACAGGGAGATTAGCCCGCTTGCGAGGGGTCAGAGCAGCAGGCTGGATGGGTAAGATGCCAGCAGCAGGCTGGGTGTGGACTGCTTTGGGCCTCTGGCGAGGGGTGATGGAGGTTTCAGTGGTGGGAATTGGATCTGTCAGTCTGGCAACAAAGGGAGGATGTTGGCCTTCTTGTTAATCATGGCAAACAGTGTTAACATAATTATTTAATGAGTATCAGAATACAGATGATACCTAATTACTTCTACGTTACTACAGCTTTAATGGTAACACAGTGAAAGCAGGTCATGCTTGCCTGGGCTTAGCCTGGCTCTTCTTTGCTGCCGCAGCCTCGCTAGCTTTGACTGGCTCAGGAAGTTTGGAAGGAATCGGAGAATTCTTGTTTATGAAAAAAAAGGAAAGGCTTTACAATGAAGTCTGCACAGATTTTACAAAGAGATCTGCAATGAGAAAATCAATGTTTCACACACAAAAAAGTTTTTTTTTAACTAAAATATCATCAGGACTAACAAGTATTTTACACTCTATGAAAATAAAGAATCCAAGCTTATCTTCCTCCCACAGCGTGACAACTGGCCTGTATCCATATGTAGGTCAGGCAGAGAACCCATAGCAGAGTCTCGATGAGACAAAGTCAAGCAAATCCAAATATTTTGACTACTTTTGGTGCCAAGAGGCACTGACCTTCACATTTTGAACAGGGCACGTCCGCTGAGCTAGTTTGAAAGCAAAATAGGACACCTGGTAGATATCTGGTCTCTTGTCTGGATCTGGCTCCAGCGTGTACCCTGAAACATACCGTGTACATAAAAATGAAAGTCTCAACAAGGTAGACACCAGTCTGTTAGTAGATATGAAATTTATGCTTCTGAAATGTAAGCGGTACTAACGAATGAGGCAGTGAAGATCATAAGAGTAACGGGAATTATCTGGAATAGTGAAACTGCCATCACAGATGGCCACCTGGCTTTCACCAAAGGGCAAAGTGAAGAAGCACAGCTTGTACAGCAAACAGCCCAGTGCCTGGAGAAGACAACCACATGCATGCCCGAGAAGAGAGGAGGATAATTCATCAAATA